AAGAAACAGGCAGGTTGAGCCAATCCAGAGGCTGTTGAGAGTGGCTGGAGCTGAGCAGTGGCACACAGCGTGGTGGCGACAGGCCTGTGCCTTCCATTTTCTGTGTGTTTCGTTCCTTTGGTGAAAGTACCCAGCCCCAGCTCCCACTGGGACCTCCCTGTGGTTCACGACACTTGGTGTCTGTGTCCTCAGCACCCAGGACAGCGCCTGCCATGTAGGTCCTTCCTAGTTGAGAGGAGGGATCCATGCTTTGCTTTCAGGTGTCTTTTTCAGTTTGAAATGGAAACCAGCTCACTCTGATGAGTGCAGAAATAAATGGGATGTTTTCATTTGAATGTTGACTTTAGAATTTTCTTCTGAAATCATGTAATTCTCCTCACTGGCTTTTTTTGGGAAGGACAAGTCTTAACAAAGCCTCTAAGGGGCCAAACCCTTTAGAACTCCTTTCTCTGGGTTTCCGGTCTTCCTGTGTGGAGTGAGGGGTGAGACTGGGCTCCTGGACCTTTGAAGGAAGGCCAGGTGTGGGCTCCTGTTTCTGCTCCTGTAGTGACAGGCCCCTGCTGTCACTTTTATATCCCATGATTCCATTGCTCCCGGCCTTCGGATCGGGTGTGCGCTGTTTGGTTTATCTCAGCCTTCTGCCAGCTACACTTTTCCTAGTTCTAAGTGTGAATTTCTTTTTTCTCAAGGAGTCTTCCAAGACTGGGTTTCTTCTCTACTCCTGTGACGTGCTTTTGTAGGAATGATCATAAAACATTAAAAATGCCGGTTGAAGTTTTGCTTTTATAAGGAAACTGTAAGAGCCTTGATAGTTTGGACTCTATTCTATTTATCTTTGCCTCCCAGCGCCCTGTCAGAGAGTCAGTATCAAAAACATGTTAAATTCTGCTGAAAACTCTTAGAGTATGAAAGTAAACATTTGGTAATTAATATATTGCGCTGGAGGCACAGGAGTGGGATACTAAATAGAAACTAAGTGGAAGGCCGGGCGCAGTGCCTCACGCCTGTAATCCCGGCACTTTGGGAGGCTGAGGCGGGCGGATCACGAGGTCAGGAGATCGAGACCATCCTGGCCAACATGGGGAAACCCTGTCTCTACTAAATATACAAAAATAATCTGGGCATGGTGGCGCATGCCTATAGTCCCAGCTAATTAGGAGGCTGAGGCAGGACAATTGCTTGAACCCAGGAGGCGGAGGTTGCGGTGAGCCGAGATCGCGCCATTGCACTCCAGCCTGGGTAACAAGAGCGAAACTCCGTCTCAAAAAAAAAAAAAAAAATCTGCAGGCTGGCCGGGCGCGGTGGCTCATGCCTGTAATCCCAGCACTTTGCGAGGCCGAGGCGGGTGGATCACGAGGTCAAGAGATCGAGACCATCCTGGCCAACATGGGGAAACCCCGTCTCTACTAAATATACAAAAATTAGCTGGGCGTGGTGTTGCGCACCTGTAGTCCCAGCTTACTCTGGAGGCTGAGGCAGGAGAATCTCTTGAATCCCAGAGGCGGAGATTGCGGTGCACCGAGATCACGCCACTGCACTCCAGCCTGTGACAGAGGGAGACCGTCTCAAAAAAAGAAACTGACTGGTGGAAAACTGAAAAATGACCCAGTGTAGTATTTTAATGTTAAAGACGATATTCTCGAACCAGTGAGTAAAAGGAGAGGTTACTTAATGAATGACATTTGACCCATTCTTTATTTTTTTTTAGTTTCCTAATAAACACAGTATCGCAAAATAAAATAAGTTCTAGGTGGACTGAAAACTTCAGGGTGGAAGCGAGACCTATAGAGATAGGAGACTGGCACACAGCGGGATGTCGATGCACTCTCGGAAGGCGTGGGCCTTTCCAAGTGTCCCCAAAGCGGGATCACGAGGAAAGGACAAAAGAGCGGCTCGGCCCCCCAGACCAAGGAGAACAGATTGGCCACCACCATTCTCTTCCTGTCGCTGCTCCAGCACATCGTCACAGACTTACGGGCTTACAATGAACATGTTGTCTTAGAGCGCTGGAGTTTACAAGTCTGACATGGTTCTCACTGGGCCAAAACCAAGGTGCTGGCAGGAAGCTCCAGGGGAGAGCGTTTTCCCTGCTCCCTCCGGCTCCAGGAAGCGCCAGCGTTCCTTGGCCTACAGCCCCCTTTCTCCACGTTCAGAATCAGTCATGTTGCATGTGTGTGACCTTTCGTGGTCCCGTGTCTCTCTGACCACAGCCGGGAATGTTCTCTGCTTTTGAGTACTCATGATTAGACTGGACCCTCCAGGAGGGCGCAGGATGGTCTCCCACCTCAAGGTCTGTGTTCTTAGTTGCATCTGCAAAGTCGCCCTTGCCATGTAAGGTGACACAGTCACAGGTTCTGGGCGTTAGGATGTGGACGTCTTGGGTGGGGGTCGTTATTCTGACCTCACCGCTGGAACGACTAAGAAGGAATCCTCTGTGTACAAGATTTTTACAAATCAGTAAGAAAGTGGTGAGCACCTCATTAGAAAATGGACAAAGGGTATGAACAGAGAGTTTAGAAAAAGAAGAGGTACAAATGAACAAAGTTACAAACAGTGTTTGACCTCACTCATGAATGAAAAGGCACACAGCCAGCACGGAGAGCACTGTCCTCCGGTGAGGTGAGCAGTGGTTTGTGGGGTCCTGCGCTGCTGCTGGGATGTGAACGGCTGCTCTTCGGCAGGCCGGACCAGTGGCCTTTTCGGTGCGTGCTCTATGTCTCAAGCTTTCCATTTCTAGGAGTTTATCCTCAAGAGGTCATCATAGTTGTGCGTGGATATTTGTCTACAAAGATAATGTAATGCTTTTTTGTCATCAGTATTTGATTTTACTTCTTAGGGACTCTGTAACCCAGATTGGAGTGCAGTGGTGCAGTCTGGGCTCACTGCAACCTCTGCTTCCCAGGCTCAAGCGATCTTCCCACCATTTTTTGTAATCACTTGTTTTAAGTTCTGGGGGCAGGGTCTCACTATCTAAGCCAGGTTGGAGATCAGTGGTGCAGTCTTAGCTCACTGCAACCTCAGCCTCCCAAGTCACTGGGACCGCAGGCATATGCTACCATGCTCAGCCATTTTTTTTTGGGGATTTTTTTGTACAGACAGGGTTTTGCTATGTTGTCCAGGCTGATCCTGAACTCCTGAGCTCAAGCGATGTGCCCATCTTGGCCTCCTAAAGTGCTGGGACCACAGGCGTGAGCCACCGCACCTGGCCTGTAATCACAATTTTAAGTAAGTTAAGTGTCTCACAGTCAACTTCAGGTAAACACGTTATGTTGTAGCCCTCAGGGGATGGAGTGAAATGAGAGGTGGTACTGTTCAGGAGATGGCACAGGCCGGCACGGGCTCACTGGTGCTCACTCTGTTATGGCTCTTAACAACTTTCTTAGACTTTGAAATCATTGCAACAACAAGGAGTTACAGGGAGTTCTTGGGAGATCTGTGTGCTCTTCCCTCATTATTGCGCTTTTAGGCTTATATATGTTGCTCATATTCTTTTTATGTATCAAACAATATGTATAAAGTCAAATTATTTAAGTAAATTGAAGAAGATAGTAATGATATGGGGAAATAGTAATGGTCTATTACTAAGTGAAGAAGGTGACACTCCATTCTGTTGAAAAAATTACATCTTGGCCAGGCGCAGTGGCTCACACCTGTCATCCCAGCACTTTGTGGGGCCGAGATGGGTGGATCAGCTGAGATCAGGAGTTCGAGACCAGCATGGCCAACATGGTGAAACCCTGTCTACTAAAAATAGAAAAAAAAAAAAAATTAGCTGGACCTGGTGGCAGGTGCTGGTAATCCCAGCTATTTGGGAGGCTGAGGCAGGAGAATCACTTGAACCCAGGAGGCAGAGGTTGCAGTGAGCTGAGATTGCACCACTGCACCCTAGCCTGGGCGACAAGAGCAGAACTGTCTCTAAAAAAAAAAAAAAAAGTTAAAACGTTCATGTCTATGTTTAAACACCTCTTCATTCATGTTTATTTTCACACGCACACCCCCGAACCTTCAAGGTACCACATCAGAATGTCACCGTGGTTCTGTTTCCCACGTGGCCTGTGTTAGTTAGGTTATCTGACAGTATTGCCCTCAGCAAACGGAGACTCGTTTATTTCGTGGGTCTGGAAGCGTGTGGTAAGCCGCGCAGGGTCGGGCAGCAGCTCAAAGCCGTCACAGCCCCATGCTCTCTCCCGCCTGTCTGCCCTGCTGTCCTTCATGGTGCTGTCTTCACTCAGGCACGTTGGCTGAGGCTTCAGCCTGAGGTTTCACCTCTGTATTCCAGGCTGGAAGAAGGGGTAGAAGCTAGGGGGCAAAGGCGTGCTAGCTGAACCTTTTTTTTTCTTTTATTTCAAGCAAAGTAATAACCCCATTTATTTCTCACTGGCTCTGAGCAATAAATGTGTGTCACAGGGCCAGCCGTGGCTAACGTCAGCCAAGGAGCAAAGGCTTCTGGGTAGCGGTTCATCAGCCAGCCAGTACCCCAGTGTCTGCCACGTGGGGTATGTTTCCGTGTGTTTTCCAAATTTGCTCTGATGAAGACTTTTATAACAAAACCATTAAATCTTTAAAAAAATATATTTGTCTTTTGCAATTCTGCATTCAGTCTTGAGACAAAATGGTGGCTGGTGCCACTTCCCAGGTGGGTGTTTCTCCATGAGTGTTTAGTCTGAGGGCAGAGGCTGCAGTCCCTTCCTCGCACTCCCACACACCCTCATCACCGTGGGGATACCCGAGGGCCTGTGGTGGTGCTTGTCGCGCTGAGGCCCATTCTCGGGGAGGGCTGAATGGCTTGCTTGTGTGGGGTGTGGGTTGGTATGGTGCTATTTACCCCTTCTCACCTGGGCCCTCGGGACCCCGGAAGGCTGCAGGGGGCCTGCGGCAGCCGATGACGGCTGCATCCTTCAGCCCTGTGGGTTCCTAGGAGCCTGTCCTTTGGGTGAGCTGGTGGTAGGCTCTTGGGAAGGCAGAGAGAGGCTCACTGTTTTCCCTTTCTTTCCCATCAGCATCCAGCACGTGTATGGCGCCCAGCACCCCCCCTTTGATCCACTGTTACATGGCACGTAAGTGACGTCCTGACCTCACTTGGCTTCTCGGCTGTGGCAACCCTGGTCTTCCTGCTTCCCCTGCTCCCAGGCGTTCCTGAGGGAGGAGAGTGGCTTCTCATTCAGCCTCGCTGATCAAGCAGTTGCTTTGCGTGAGATGCTGGGCACCCCGTGCCGCTCATCCCGGTGAAGATGGTGATGTGGCAGCCACAGCCTGATGTGGGGAGGTGGCGGAGCCCTGGGGAGAGCCAGGAGCTGGCATCCGTTAGCCACGGGCAGCCTGGCTCCAGGCCACCCATGCTGGCTTGTCCTTTCCCCTCTCCTCGTTGCCTTCTCCACTTGCTGCTGGAGCCCGGACCTGGCCTGTCGTGGCCCCTCCACAGCAGCGGGGAGCACGGGGTGTGGGACTTGTGCTGGGGTGGTGTGGCCCTGCAGGACTGCGCCTGTCTGAGAAGTGTCTGACTTGAGGTGGGGCCCGTGCTATGTGTTGTCATATTTTGGGGGCATCTCACTTAGATGATCGTGTCTTCAAATCCGTACACCACAGGCCTGTTCCCTGCACAGGAGCTCCTGGCCCACACCCCCACTGCCGGGTGGGAGTCTTACTGGGTCTCCGGGAAGGCCACAGGCACTGGGCAAGGGCCGCTGGGGCGGGCTGCAACGTCACTGTGCGGCCCCGCGCCGCCGCGCAGGTGGCCTTTCCAGAGCTCTTTCCCCTCTCCCGCCACTGTCCTCCTGGCTTTGGCTGCTCTTATTTTGGCTGTCCGTGTGAATCACCTTTGCTTTTTCACTCACTATTGCCAGATCGAAGCTGAAAACTTCTGTGTATGTCTTTTTACCTGGGGACTCTTCTCTGGCTGGTTTTGGGGTGAAGCCTTCGAGCCCGTGTGAGTCAGGACTGCCTTTGCATTGTAGTTTGCTCAAGTCTACGGCCAAGATGCCGACCACACCCCTGAAGGCCAAGAGGGTCAGCACCTTCCAGGAGTTCGAGAGCAGCACCAGCGATGCCTGGGACGCGGGGGAGGATGACGACGAGCTCCTGGCCATGGCGGCGGAGAGCCTGAACACCGAGGTGGTCATGGAGACGGCCCACCGCGTGCTGCGCAACCACAGCCAGCGGCAGGGGCGGCCCGCGCTGCGGGAGGCACCGGGGCTGCAGCAGAAGCCCAGGCCTGAGGTGGAGTCACCCTCGCCCCCCAGCGGTGACCTCCGGCTGGTGAAGTCTGTCAGTGAGAGCCACACGTCCTGTCCTGCAGGTATGATGGGAAGACTGGAGGGATGGTCTGTCTGGGCTTCTGGCCGAGCCAAGAAGCCCGTCCACTCACTGTGGGAGAATCAGTGGGCTCCTGTCCCCATTTGCAGCAGGCCTCTGGCCACGAGAGCCCTTGCAGTTCTCTTCCAGGGGCAGGGGAGCGGTCTGCATTGTTCCCTTGGGCCCCCATCTGCTTTCTTGTGTCCTAGCTGAGTGGAGTGGCCGGGCACCAGGCCGTTGTGGGCTGGCTGTGAGAGGGCCCCGGGCAGGCAGGCGCTTGGGGGACACTGTCTCCCTCCTGACTCCACCATCTTGTGATGGCTCCATGGGCGGTGATGCCTGCTGAGGTGTCAGGCCAGCTGACCCTCTAGGCCACTTACAGGGTTCCTGCCAGGAGTGCATCCAGGTGAGCTCAGGTCCGTCGGGGCTGGGAGTCTGACTTTTGTGCCAGCTCCATTTGCATTCTGCCCCCTTGGGTGGGGTCGTGTGCATGGCGCTGGTGTGCGCAGCTGCTTTTGAGGCTGTTTCTGTGGCCACCGCTCGTCATGTCTGTGCCGGAAAAGCTGCACGGTCGTGTGATGAACCCGCTGTGGGTTGGGCACTGTCTTCAGGACTTGGCATACCCCAGTGGACAGACTGAGGCACCTCTGTGCCCTGTGGAAAGTCCGTTCTGGCGAGGGGGATGGAGGCAGCACTGCCCACCTCCAGCAAGGTGGCACAGAGTGTGCGGGGAGGCAGCAAGTGCCACGCTCAAGAGAGGCGGATAGCGGGTGGGAGCGCGGTGGCCGTGAGAGCAGTGGGGAGCGGGCGTCCTTGTGTGAGCAGGGTTGTTGGGAGTCTAGGGGCTGGGGCAGGGGCCAGCCGGGCGGCCACAGGCCCTCAAAGGTACCTCCCTCCAAGGTCTTCTCTCCCCACATTTCCAGCTGAGAAGATGGAGATGGTTAAGTAGCCCGAGGTTACGCTGCAGAACTAGGTTTCATGCCTAGGTCTAGTTCTCCAAAGCACTCTCTAAGAGTTGGTTAACTTCTAAAATATTATAGCTCTCGTTAGGTGAGAATGCTGTCCGTGATTTCATTTGATCAATTTTCTTTTTGGAGTCGAATACATTTTAAAGTCTTTGAACCCTTAACTGGAAATCTGGTTATGGCCTTTGTGGGAGGGTTGGAAACCTGTTGACTGATTGGAGCATGCACTGCCTGCCTCCTGCAGGCTCAGACCTGGGCTCAGCTGGGGTGGAGCTGGTGTTTGCAAGATGGCTGGCCTCATCTGCTTGTAGGTGGTGCTGACGTTGAGGCTCTGTGAGCCTCTCAGCACCCTGCCCCCTGCCCCCAAGATGCAAGGTGCTGTCAGTCTGAGAGTGGCCAGGACCGCAGGACCACATGGTATGTGGCTGGGGGATCTTACCAGTGGCAGGCTCTGGCTGCAACCAGCTGGGTCAGGGGAGCCGTGGGATGTCACCCTAGGATGGCCTCATCCTGGAAGAGCCAAGTGCAGGATGCTCCAGGCAGGTAGTGCTGGGAGAAGGGGCCTGTGCCCCCGCTGCCCTGTGCCCCCGCTGCCCTGTGCCCCCGCTGCCTGCATTGGAGTTGGCCACGTTTCCTGTGTTTACTTTCTGGGCGAGCGTCTTCTGAGCGCTTCAGTTTTATCGATCATTTACTGTGTGGCGAGCCCTTGTGGTGATAAACTCGTTCAGCTCTGCAGTAGCACGAGGGCTTAGGCTTGTGGGCCCTGCTCAGGAGTGCGTGGTCCCTTCGGTGTCTTCATGCAGCCGCATCAGTCATCTCTAAAGATCGCAGGGAAGTCTGGCTCTGGGACACAGTGCGCAGCTGTTCCTCCTGCCGAATATCGGCTCTGGGGAACTGTAAGTGCCACTGAAGCAGGAGCTTCTGGAGGAGGCAGAGAGGGGCACTGTCACCCATGTCCTCCCCTCTGCTCAGGTGCTGGTTTTCAGCCCTCCCTGCAGTAAGGCCGGCAACAGGGACTCCAGAGCCAGATGCCCCGGGCTGGAGCCCCAGCCAGCCCTCGGTGTACAGCTACTGCAAAACAGGAATCCCAGCAGGTGCTGAGGCGGGCTGGGGGGAGTCAGGGAAAGTGGGCCGCGAGGATGGGGGCAGGAGACAGGGTGGTACTCTGAAGTCTTTGCCCCCACTTCAGCAGACTTTTCTGGAAATTTAAGTGGGCCACATTCTGCCCAGAGGCCATAGGTTGCCTGGCTCCTGGATGGCCTGAGGGTTGCTGTGTGAATTCTTTTCCCCCACCCTCAGGTTGTGAAGGAAATCGGGGAGCCGTGCGGGAAGGAGGGCGTGGGGCAGTGTGGCCCTTACCTCCTCACTCTGGCGGCTGCTGGAGCGGATGTCAGCCCGTCAGCTGCAGCATGTGCTCTGGCTCCATTTCCTGGAGTTTATTTTTCACTCCACTTTAATTTTCAGTTTTTGAAAGATGCAATAGCTGGACAGGATTTAGGCCTAGGAGTTTGGAGCTTTTCCCAGCCTGTTGCTTGTTGGTCTCGGCTGGCCGTGTTGAGTGACCTGAGGGCCTTAGGGTCTTCCCTGGGGCTGACCTGGTCTGGGGTTGCTGGGTGTAACTGTCTGTCTCACATCTTGCTTGGCTCTCCATGGGCCTGTGCATCTTGGGCTGGCACAGGAAGCAGGAGGGAGGGTGGGCAGCTTGCACCCTCGTGCCACCTCAGTCACTGCCTGTGGTGGCGTCTGGGAAGGTGCCATCCCTCATAGGTCTTGCTTTCTTTGTTTCTCTGGGATGAGAGTCTCTGTGTGATCTTCCTCCCAGGGCAGTGGTGAGAGCCTGGGAGGGCCAGGTAGGTGGTGGGGTCAGGCATGCCCTTGAGACAGCAGGTGAGTGCCCTCATAGACCCTGGTCCCTGGTGAGTCCCCACCGTTGCCTCCTGTCCTCAGCGCCTCTGCAGGCTTTCTTCTTGCCTTCACAGTAACTTGCAGGGCTGCCCTCTGCACTCAGGCCTGGCTGCCCCAAGACCACCCTCCTGCACAGACCCTCTGGGTCATGTCACCTGGGCATCCCCTGATCCGCTGTCCTAGGCACTGGTGGGACCCTGACTACCAACACAACCCAAGGGGTCCTGGAGTTTTCTGGCTGTCATTGTGTCGCTTTTATGCGAGGTGTGTCCATTTCATTGATTCTCTGCCAGTGAGGCGAGTGCATTTCAAAGGTGTCACTTCCATGTTATTGCTCAAGAAACTGAAGTCCCCACTGCTCAGTGATGGGAAGAAGGGACTGTTGTAACCCCACAGCGTTCACAAAGGGACAGTGACGCAGCAAGGAAGAACATGGGGTTGGGAGGAGTGCCCTCACCCTCATCCCCCTCTCTCGCCACTGCAGAAAGTGCCTGCGCTGCCACCCCTCTGCAGCGGTCCCAGTCTCTGCCACACTCGGCCACCATCATGCTGGGTGGGACATCTGACCCCAGCACCCTCAGCAGCTCAGCGCTGAGCGAAAGAGAGGCCTCCCGGCTCGACAAGTTCAAGCAGCTGCTTGCCGGACCCAACACGGACCTTGGTAAGCATCGCGCCCGCTGGAGGACACGTGCAGACATTTCTGGCCGTTTCGGAAACAGATCCCATCGTAAAGGATTCTGTGTATGCACGTGCTTCCATGCGTCATTTGTGTAATGCTTTCATGCCAGTAAATCACAAAGGTAGCAGCAATTTGTGCGGATCGCTTTTTTGTAGACATGTTTTGTTAATGTTTTTCCAATGCAATTTGATAATATATTTTCTGTTCCTTGTTATTTTTATTTTTTTAATTGAGACTGGTTCTTACTCTGTCTCCTGGGCTGGAGTGCAGTGGTGTGGTCATAGCTCGCTGCGACCTGGAACTCCTGGGCTCAAGCAATCCTCTTGCCCCTGCCTCCCAAGTAGCTGCGACTACAGGCTTGTGCCACCAGGCTCACAAAGTTTATTAAACATTTTTTTCTAGAGATAAGGGTCTCCCTATGTTGCCCAGGCTGGTCTTGAACTCCTAGGGTCAAGAGCTCCTCCTGCCTCACAAAGCACTGACTGGGCTTACAGCTGTGAGCCACCATGCCTGGCCCGTTCTGTTTTCTTATTGTCCCAGTTGCTCTCTTTATTATGTGGCCGTTGGTGAGCCCTTCAAGGCTGGCCAGGTGGACATCCAGGATACCATCCTTTCGTGGTATTCTGAGGCAGCGGCTCATGAGGGCACAGTGCTGGTGACCATCAACTCGATCTGCTGATTTTGCACTTTCCTGCCCTGGGGCTGGTGGTCATCAGAGGGTGACAGGCTGTGAGCCCTGCAAGGGGGCAAGGGTGAGGCTGGAGCAAAGGGGCAGACCCTCAGGGCAAGCGCAGTCAGCAGCGTGACTCTTCCTGCGGGAGCTGCTTCCAGGCACACACAGCGCCACGTGGACTGCGGTGGCCAGGCTCCGTGGAACACACCCGCTTTGGGTTCCTCTGGTGGAATTCCTACTGAATCCACGTTCTTCCTTTACGAATCTCATCTTCGTGGAGTGCCACTCTGGCTAGACATTTGCTAGACGCCGGAGCTCTCGGGGGGACTGGAATGTGGCCTTGGTCATGGGATTGCTTCACTGGGGGGACACACCTGTATCAGACAGTTGTGGCTGGTGCCACCGCGGCACTGAGAGCCGGAGGTGCAACGCCCGGCTCGGCCAGGAGGTGGCGTCTGGGGCTCGTGGATGGGCCAGCAGGAGCTGCGCCTTCAGGCTCAGAGGCCCAGGGCAGGGAGAGGGTTTCTGGCAGAAGCGCTGGTTCACAGGGCACAGCTGAGGCTGCGTTCCCCAGGCTGTGGATGGCGGCTCCTGGGAGGTCTCCTGGCTGGAAGGACACAGGTCTGAGTGAGTTCTCAAGGTGGGTTGTTGTTTCTCCCTTAGGTTTATTTTTTAAAACAGTCACGCTTGCATATGCCGTCACAGTACACAGCACAGCAGGTGTATGTGGAATGAGGCCTGCCCCAGCCTCCACTTCCCCTTCCTTTCCACAGTTGCAGGTGTCTCCTTCCAGCGATGGCCCGTGCACATGTTGTTTAAGCGTTTTCTGTTGATGTGATTCAAACTTGTAGAACGTTGGCAAGGACAGTGCAAACAGCTCCCATATGCTGTGTACGCAGAGCCACCAGTAGTTTACGTCTGCCCGTTACCGTTCTGCGTGTGTGTGCCTGTTTGTGTGTCTGTGTGTGCGCTCCTTTTGGTACGAACCTTACCGTTCTGCGTGTGTGCCTGTTTGTGTGTCTGTGTGTGCGCTCCTTTTGGTACAAACCTTACCGTTCTGCGTGTGTGCCTGTTTGTGTGTCTGTGTGTGCGCTCCTTTTGGTACAAACCTTACCGTTCTGCGTGTGTGCCTGTTTGTGTGTCTGTGTGTGCGCTCCTTTTGGTACAAACCTTACCGTTCTGCGTGTGTGCCTGTTTGTGTGTCTGTGTGTGCGCTCCTTTTGGTACAAACCTTACCGTTCTGCGTGTGTGCCTGTTTGTGTGTCTGTGTGTGCGCTCCTTTTGGTACAAACCTTACCGTTCTGCGTGTGTGCCTGTTTGTGTGTCTGTGTGTGCGCTCCTTTTGGTACAAACCTTACCGTTCTGCGTGTGTGCCTGTTTGTGTGTCTGTGTGTGCGCTCCTTTTGGTACAAACCTTACTGTTCTGCGTGTGTGCCTGTTTGTGTGTCTGCGTGTGTGCCTGTTTGTGTGTCTGCGTGTGTGCCTGTTTGTGGGTCTGCGTGTGTGCCTGTTTGTGTGTCTGCGTGTGTGCCTGTTTGTGGGTCTGCGTGTGTGCCTGTTTGTGGGTCTGCGTGTGTGCCTGTTTGTGGGTCTCTGTGTGCGCTCCTTTTGATATGAACCATTTCAGAGTCAGCTGGAGATAGATCCCTTTACCTGTAAAACCTTCATGGAGAGTCCCTAAGCACGAAGACATTCTGTCCAGGTAGTCACAGCACAGGTGTCAGAATCAGGACGTTTCACATTGCCACAGTACTGTTTGAACACGTTTGTTACTGTAATCCGCAGTCCACGTTCACATTCTGCCGGTTGTCGTGGTGATGTCCTTTCTCTCTTTTCTCTTAGTCCAGACTCCGGTGGGGACCGTGAGTTCCATTCAGGTGTCGTGCCTCTGTCTTCTCCGTCCACCTGGAACGACATCTTTGCCTGACTCTGTTTCCGTCTTGACACTTGAGCAGAGCACAGGCCAGTTATTCTGTGGGATGTCCCTTGGGTTGTTTGGGTCTGATGCTTCCCCACGATGAGATTCTGGTTGATAATTTTTGGCAGGAACACGACTGACGGGATTTGTGTTCTTCTGGGTCAGCGCAGTGGGGTGTGTGGTGCCGCTGGACCCTACCAGTGGTGATGTGGACTCTGGTCGCTTGGATGAGGTGGCGTCTGCCCGCCCTTCCTGCTGAGCGCTCCCTCTCTCCTCTGGTGATGGAGTGGTCTGTGGAGAGGTGCCCTGGGGCCTGTGCATCTCTACAGTGCATTTCCTTCCCCACTGCACAGGAAGGCGATTGTGCACCGCACTTTTTAAAGGGATGATGTATGTCCCCATGGTGTCCGTGGAGAACCGCCTTAGTCTTACCACGCCATGCTGTGGGTGTCCCGCACTTGACTGCACCAGCCCCTGTGGATGGGCAGGCAGGTTCTTCCTAATTTACTATTATTACAGACAACTTGAGGACTTTTCTTCAGGCATCTGGGCTTCCTGCTGTGATGATGAGACTCACAGAGCCTCCCTAGGCCTGGGTGGGGTGAGGAGGCAGCGTGGGGATGGCTCTGTGATTTTGGCTAGAGCACCGGGTAGGTGGAAGCACCACCCACCGAGATGGGGCATAAAGGTAGATCGTGCCTACAGGAGTCTAGTCCTGTGTTTGAGGTACCCATCTTGGCCACCTCCTCTTCCAGCATGCCACTGTCCCTTCTCTGCTGGCTCTCATGCCTCCAAGGTGGTGTGGGGATGCAGAACTACAATGCGCCTGGGAGGGTAGGTCCTCGAGCCGGGCTGCTGCCTGGAGAGCTGGCTCCACTGCTTACTTGCCTCGTGACCTGAGCCAGCTTGGTGATGACCCTGCGCCTCAGAGTTCCTGTTTGTGTGATAGGCATGATGAAAGCAGTGCTCCCTTTGCCGATTAAATGAGATAGTATGTATAACATGCTTAAGAGAGTGCCTGGCACGTACTAAGCACTCACAAATGTTCCTTATTTCCGTGGCTGTTCTTATGCTCACTTGAATTGTTCTTTTTATCCCTCACTCGGTTTTTGCGCGGTTGATGTATATGGTCACTTTTGCGGTCATGGACGAGTCGAGTGACTTACAGATGTTTTCCTGGTTCTGTCCCATGGTTGCAGCGATAGGCAGGTGGCAGGGAGACAGCTGGTGAAAGCACGATTCGCCTGATGGGAACCCTGTGCTGGGTCCGTACAACCCACCTGGAATCTTCCGGTAGACTTTGTAACTGGAGCAACTTTTGGAAATTAAAATCAAAAGGAAAGGTTTCAAGACTTGTGGGAACAGGTGAGTTTGTGGGGCTAGATTTTAATGTCAAAATCAAGTTATTTTGTTAGGCTGAGGGTACTGTGGGTCTTTTCTTTCTTTATTCTATGTAAATATCAAATTTAAACCCCAAAACGCTGAAAGCAGAGCTTTCAAAGTGAAGCAGTTACTGCATTTGTATTTAGTGGCAAGAGAAAACATAGCCAGTAAATCGCCTGTTTTTATCAGGTAGTCACGATAGCTTTGGGCGACAGTGGAATGCGCTGTCTTCACATGACATGAAAGACGGAAGTGGCCAATGTTTGCCCGTGTCGGAGGAGCACCTGCGGAAGTGAGTCTGCCTGCCCCGCATCCTCTGTCCGGCCGAGCGCTGTTTTTCTTTGTTTAGCTTATGCTCTCTTATGAGCCTGGGATGAAAGTAGCAAATAGAACTTAACAGCTCATTTTACTCTTAGCACTGGCTCAATATTTACTCGAAGAAAGACTGCCTGCTTTGAAGCCCTGGAAAGTGACGCTCACGTTGGTCACGTGTGTCTGCTGAATGGCAATGTGATTTGGTGGCATGCAGAGCACGCAGGTTCCCGAAGACCATCGGGGGCCCGCCTCGCAGCAGTGGGGCCTCGGAGGGAGACTGCGTGTGGAGGACACAAGGCACTACCTCCCTTCCTTCGAGGAGTGGGGCCAGGCCATGGTCATGTTCCTTTTCCCCTGAGTGCTGGGCAGCCAGTCTGGGCTTTATGAGAGCATGCTGATAGATGGAGGTCGGGGGAGATGGTGTTTTGGGGCTGGGAGGGCATGAACAAAAGTTTGGAGGTGTGCGCCTCTACAGCACGGATATGAGGAGTAGGTGCCCCCTTGGTGTCTGTGGCTGGAGGGCAGCCCTGAAAGGGCCTGGGCCTTTGGTGACAGGAGGCAGCAGGTGCAGCCGTGGAGTTGGTCCTCAGTGTGATGGCTGGCCGTGTCCTCAGTCATGAAATGGCTCAGCCTCCCTGTCTCGTCAGCTGTACAGGGGGCATGAGACCTGCCCTCAGGGTCCTTGTGAAGGTG